CAAACAACGCACAGGGGTAAAACGGTCCTCGACCAACGTCAAAAGGATCGACAACGCTGGGCGCGCCCATGCTTCCCCGCCTGAGGCAGAAACACACATTGAGAATCTGGGTCGCAAATTCTGCTCGCCTGTGCACTGTGATGTGAGTCTCCGTGTGCTTGGAATGCGTGCGTGATCGTTGCAAGTTTAATTTGCCCACGCTGTGGTCCGTTTGTGCATTTTCAGGCTTGCAGCGAGATCTCGGAAACATCAGGTACGCGAGCTCCGGGTGCATGCCCTGTACCCGACCACCTGTTTTTTTTTTTCGCACGAGCCAAGCTGCAGAACGTTTGGCGAGTGGGGCTACCTGACAGGAAACACAATGTTCTCGAGACCAGTCCGTCATCATAAACGCCGTGGGCAAACACACAATGTCGGCAACATCCCCGGCAACTTAGTCTGCACACTTATGACACTTGCTGAAGCACATCTGCAACTCAGAGCGAACGCTGGTAAGCTGAACAGGAAGATAATATTATCGATTCAACCATGGTGCGAATGAATTTGCCGCGCGCCTCATCAGCCATTGGGCAAGGGTTCCACGACCCCCAGACTAGTAGAGCACGACGAGTGGGTGGGAAGACAATCCCACCAACCCTTTAAGGCGTAAGGTGTTTTAGGGAGCTTCCTCTACCACCCATCCCTCTTCGTTTATCACAGTTCCCTATTTGTATACACCCCCTCCCCCAGCCGACTGGGAACCAAAGACAATGCGGGCCACCCCCCACCATCCCTTGTAAACAACAAGACAAGCACAAACTGTGCCTCCAAATTCGGAGCATGCGCAACGAACCCGATGCGGCCTCCCCCCACCATCCCTCTCAAAAACAATACAGAATACACTTGGCGGCGGCGGCGGCTGCGGCGGCTGCGGCGGGGGCAGCGGCTGCGGCGGCTGCGGCGGTGGTGGCGGCGGTGGCGGCGGCGGCGGCGGTGGCGGCGGCGGCGGTGGCGGCGGCGGCGGCGGCGGCAGAGGTGGCGGCAGCGGTGGCGGCAGCGGCTGCGGCGGCGGCGATTCGGCAGCGGGGGCGACGCGGCGGCGGCGGCGGCGGCGGCGGGCAGCAGCGGCGGCAGCGGCGCGGCGGCGGCGGGGGCTGGCGGCGGCGGCGGCGGAGGCGGCGGCGGCGGCGGCGGATTCGCCCCCAGTAGTTGCTCATCCAAAGACGACTGCTGAATATGCTGCGGCTCGGGCCAGGCTCGGGTGCTACGTATATGTTGGGAGGGCGGGTGGGAGTGAGCGAGACGGCTTGCGGGTGGGGAAGGCGTCTTGATCACTGTTCCGTATTAGTATACACCCCCTCCCCCAGGCGACTGGGAGCCAACCCGAGTCCATGAGGGCCCCCCCCCACCATCCCTGGTAAAAACAATACAAAACACACTCTGCCTCCAAATTCGGACCCCAAGACGGCCCCAAGAGCGCCCAAGAGAGAGCGCCCCAAGATTCGACTTTTTGGGCTCCCGAGGGGCAACGCTAATTTATGCTCCCCTCGTGTTTGATCGATGTCCTCCAAGATGGCCCCAAGAGCGCTCCCAAGGCTCCCGAGAGCGCTTCAAGTGGGCCCCAAGAGGCGCCCAGGCCGCCCCACAATGCCCCAACAGGCGCCCAAGAGGTCTCCAAGAGGCTCCCAAGAGACCCCCCAAGAGGCCTCAAGAAACTCTCCGAGGCACCCAAGACGCTCTAAGAGGCGCCCGGGACCGCCAAGAGGCCCCCAAGTCGCTCCAAGAGGCCTCCACTGGGGGACCCTTCCTCTGTGTGCTGCCCACTTCCCTGATCGAGGCGATTCCTCTGGACATCGTTTCTGGATGGGCTGGTGGGGTTACGCGAAGCGTCTATAATTTTGACAAGATCGCAGGATATCGAAACTGCTTCTGCGACAGTGGGGATAAGGTCAGTTCTCTGTCTCTCTCTCTCTCTCTCTCCAACTATATCTCTCTTTCTCTCTCGAGCGCATTCGAAAGACCCCGCCGAAAATAACTTGTTGTACTAATAATTGTCAGGGTATGATCTGGCAAAGTCGGTACAATGCTCTCGAGTGGGTTCTGAGCATGGTCGCACTATGAGGTGTCAAGGGAGGAGGTTGGGGAGAGAGCGAATGGAGTCACACAATCAAGGGGCAATTGCGAAGATAGATCAAGAGATACGGTCAAGAGCTTGTGCTTAATGTGTCGCGCATCCAAGTATGGCCCACCATGCTTCGGCGCGGCACGCTGACCGCGTCCTGGCCCCCAGGCATCATCATCCCGAGCCTCCCGTCCCGCGGAGCGGAGCAACACGCTATCTGTTTGCAGGGTATTGCGTATCGCCAGGCCCGCTGTCGCGACACGCAAAACACAAGCACTTCCTAATCGTGAAGCCGAGGAGAATCCAAAATCGATGTCCAAGCCCTCCCTTGGCAACATCCCGATCCGTCCTGCGAGCCGCACTTGACCGTGGAGGCGAAAGGGCCCGTCCAATGGCCCAAAAACGCAGCAGGAGGAGGAAATGGTGGTCCAGGCCCCCAGGACGCTGGAGCTGTCGAATGCTCTTGCTCGCGACCTCACGCAGGAAGAACCGCACAGTGTGCCGTAAAGGGAGCGGTTTCATCAGCACAGGTCGCGTTGCAGTTCCCTGTGCAACACAGACTTGATCCGAAATGCGGCGGCGACGCTACACCCTGTGCTGACAATGCCTGCTAGTCCGAGGTGTCGTTTGCGACTCATTGGCCTCTTCTGGATGCAGCGTGCAAAGTCCGCTCTCTGACGAATTGAAGCATGTCGCATTTCTGCATTGCTGCTCCTCGCCCCATCCCCACGCATAGACCACCCTGAGTCATTTGTCGGCCCATAGGCTGGCTTGCCAGCTACCTGTGAGCACACACACACACACGATGCTTGGAAGCCTTGGCCTCAAATGCGCTCTCAACTTGTTGGCGCTCCTGCTGGAGTGCACCCACAATGAAGTAACGTTTCTCGTCAAAGGCGATCTCCGACGCCAAAGCTCAGACCACGATCGATGCTTCAACCGGAATTTACTTCCTCCCTTCTGTCTTCTCCCTCCCCCTCCTCCTTCTCGCTCCCTCCTCCCTTCTCATCCCCTCCCTCCCTTCCTCTCTCTTTCCACCTCTCTCACTCTCCCTCTCTCTCTCTCTCTCTTTTTTTTGTTTCTCTATCTCTCTCTCTCTCTCTCTCTCTCTCCCTGTCTCATTATCTCATTCAGTCATTCACTCACTCACTCTTGTATTTATTTTTTTCCCAACCATCCTGTGGTGTTGGGTCCTCGTTTTGAAGAGACGGTGCCCCGCGTTCCCGCCTCCTTCCTTCCTCCCTCCTCCCCCCTCCTCCCCCTCCCACACCCATTCTGGCACACCCCTCACACGTTTCGTGGCCCCATAGGGAGCTCCAGCGAAGGCCCCAGTGGCTGCGTTCGCATGCGGTTCCACCCCCCATTCGGCACACCCCTCACACGTTTCGTGGCCCCATAGGGAGCTCCACCGAAGGCCCCAGTGGCTGCGTTCGCATGCGGTTCCCCCCCATTTCGGCACACCCCTCACACGTCTCGTGGCCCCATAGGGAGCTCCACCGAACGCCGCAGTGGCTGCGCTCGCATGCGGTTCCACCCCCCATTTCGGCACACCCCTCACACGCTTCGTGGCCCCAGGGGGAGCTCCAGCGAAGGCCCCAGTGGCCCCATAGGGAGCTCCAGCGAAGGCCCCAGTGGCTGCGTTCGCATGCGGTTCCACCCCCCATTTCGGCACACCCCTCACACGTTTCGTGGCCCCATAGGGAGCTCCACCGAAGGCCCCAGTGGCTGCGTTCGCATGCGGTTCCACCCCCCATTTCGGCACACCCCTCACACGTTTCGTGGCCCCATAGGGAGCTCCACCGAAGGCCCCAGTGGCTGCGTTCGCATGCGGTTCCACCCCCCATTTCGGCACACCCCTCACACGTTTCGTGGCCCCATAGGGAGCTCCACCGAAGGCCCCAGTGGCTGCGTTCGCATGCGGTTCCACCCCCCATTTCGGCACACCCCTCACACGTTTCGTGGCCCCATAGGGAGCTCCACCGAAGGCCCCAGTGGCTGCGTTCGCATGCGGTTCCACCCCCCATTTCGGCACACCCCTCACACGTTTCGTGGCCCCAGGGGGAGCTCCAGCGAAGGCCCCAGTGGCTGCGTTCGCATGCGGTTCCGCCCCCCATTTCGGCATACCCCTCACACGTTTCGTGGCCCCATAGGGAGCTCCACCGAAGGCCCCAGTGGCTGCGCTCGCATGCTGTTCCACCCCTCATCCCCCTTTTTCGGCACGCCCTTCACACGTCTCGTGGCCCCATAGGGAGCTCCACCGAACGCCGCAGTGGCTGCGCTCGCATGCGGTTCCACCCCCCATTTCGGCACACCCCTCACACGTTTCGTGGCTCCATAGGGAGCTCCACCGAAGGCCCCAGTGGCTGCGCTGGCATGCGGTTCCACACCCCATTCTGGCACACCCCTCGCACGTTTCGTGGCCCCATAGGGGGCTCCACCAAAGGTCCCAGTGGCACTGCCCGCTTGCGTCCGCCACCACCCAGCACAGCCCTTGTTCCCTGCGCTTCACCCACCCAGAACAGCGCTTCGTAGCCCTATAGGGAGCTCCACCAAAGGTCCCAGCGGCACCGCCCGCATGCGTCCGCCACCACCCTGCACAGCCCTTGCTCCCTGCCTGCGTTTCACCCACCCAGTACAGCGTTTCGTGGCCCCATAGGGAGCTCCACCGAAGGTCCCAGTGGCACCGCCGCATGCGTCCGCCACCACGCAGCACAGCCCTTGCTGACCGCGTCTCACCCACCCAGTACAGCGTTTCGTGGCCCCATAGGGAGCTCCACCGAAGGTCCCACTGGCACCGCCCGCATGCGCCGCCACCACCCAGCACAATTGCGGCATTCACAACTGCATATGGTTGGGTCCTTCGCCAGTTTTTTTTTTTTTTTTTTTTTTTTTTTTTGTTATTTTTTTATTTTTTCTCTTTTTCTCTCTCTCTCTCTCTCTTTCCTTTGAACGGACGCCTGCTGCAAGGGGGGGAACCCCTGCCGCCGCTCGGACCACCCGCCGCATCCACCGAGGCGGATGCGCCCTCACGGCCTCCAGCGAGCACGAGGGCGTGCTCTGCTTGCCGCGCGGCCCCGCACCGCCCTCGCGACCGACGGCCCAGGGCGCGCCCGACGCCAGCAGTACGCAGGGCGCGAGATGCTGCCGCCGGCGCGGGCGCGCACGGCTGGCGACGAGCCGGCAGAGGAGGGACGAGCGGGCGGGCTTCGAGGCTCGATGCTCGAGGACGGCTTCGGCGGTTCTCGGCGGCCATCCAACGCCGGAGTGCTCTCCAGCAACGGCGCCTCACCGGGAACGTTTCGGGGGTGCCCAGGTCGTCCCAAATGGCAGCCGGAGGGCCGAGCTCTTACCCGGAAGCCAAAGGCGGTGGTCTCCGACGGTCTGGGACAGGGTGCAGAAAAGCACAGGAGATGCCGCAGAGCGGGCTGCAGCGCAAAGCGAGGCGCTGCGGGGGTGAACCCTGCAGCTCCCTATATGCCGCCACGCTGGTTCCGGGCAGGCTGTGCTGTCCGGCGGAAGGGGACGAGGAGGGGAGAAGCAGGCAGACGACGACGAACGCCCAGGCGGGAGGCCAGGGCCGGCGGGGCGGGCGGGCAGGCAGAAAACGGGCCAGGCGGAGACAGCGGGCCAGGAGATGCCACTCGCTGGAGCCCCAGTGCAGATCTTCTGGTGCCGGCCCTCCGCAGAGCGGAGAGGCTGCCCCCGAAACGCCGTCCAGCGAGTTCCACTCTCGGGCACGTGGCTCTGGCCACGGAGCTTTAGTCGGGAGCGGCCAAGAGGGGGGTGTCCAAGAGGGGGGGGTGCAAATCATGACCGGCGGCATGTGCGCGGCCCAGCGGGGGGGCCAGGGACGTATTAAAACAAGAAGAGGCGCCATGAAATCTGGGGAAATGTCATGGCCCCCGCCATGATATCCACCCCCCCCTAGTCATCCCCCCCCTCTTTTCCGCCCCCGATTTAGATCCACCGGGCTGAGGCTCCCGTCGAGATCTGGCTGCCGCACCCACCCTCCCACATCCACGAGTTTCCCCAGCAGGCCTTGGGCGGGGGGTCGCCGCGGAAGCCCCCAGGAGAGGTGGGCCCCAGGGGAAACTCCCCTGTTGAATGCAAAGCCCCCTAAAAAGAGTCGAGGCGGCGGTGGTCCACCCACGCCGCGCGCGCGCGAGCGCACTTCATTGAGATCGCTGCCAGCCTGCCATGGTCGCGCTGCGCTCGGCCCGACGCCCTGCCAACAGCGCTCTGAGGCCGCGGGCTCTGGCCCGAGGGGCTGACCGTTGCCAGCGGAGCTACGCCGCCAGGGAAAGCCGAGCGCGCTTGGCCCCGCGGCCCTCCGAGTCGTGGCCAGGCCTCGCGGGCAGCACGCCGAGCATCCGCGCGAAGGCCGCGGCCACAAGCGCATGGTCGGTGGGGCTGTCCAGCGCAGCCATCTCTCGCTCCAGCTCCTCCAAAGTCGGGTGGGCGAAGGCCGCGTCTTCTGGCGGCCCCTGGTCGCGAGTGCGCTCGAGCAGCCCGCGCAGCACCTTCCTGCCAGTGGGCGTCGAGAGCTCAGGGTGCGACTGCGTGCTGAGGCCGAACGCGCCCCACGTGGCACCCCAATGACCGCTTCGGTTATAGCCCCAGCTCTCTGCGCCGGCGGGCAGGGTCACCACGACGTCCGAGTGGTAGCAGAAGAGCCGCAGGTGTTCGGCAGAGTCGATTCCCATAACCTGCTGCGCTTGCCGCGATGGCGCGTATGACTTCAGGCCAGTCTGCAGGCCAGCTGGGCTCGCCACCACGCACCCGCCCAGCGCGGCCACCATGGCCTGGTGACCGAAGCAGACGCCGACGAGCGGCCGCTGCTGGGCGCGGAGCGAGCGGATGAAGTCGAGGAGCTTGCTGGCCCACGGAGGGTGCTCTGCACTTGCCGCTACTGAGCACAGGCTACCCATGACCATGAAGCCGCTGAACGTGTCCAGGTCGCCTGGATAAGCGCCCGATGTTGCGTCAACGACAGTCAGCTCCCAAGACTCGCTCGCGACTTCGTCGAACAACTCTCGTACCATCCCTGGCACAGCCTCGGAATCCGCCACCGTGGGCGAGGCACGGGTTGGAGCGACTCCAAGTCCTCTGTAGTCCTCTGTCCTCAGGATTGAATTTTAGGGCCCAGACCCCACATGCCAAAATGTCGCAGAGCTCCGCCGTGCCTCCCCGGCCCCGGCGCGTCCAAGTTGGACCCCACAATGGGACAAGAAGGCTTCAATATGCCCCCAGTGCGGTCCAAGACGCCGAAACATCGCTGCTGGATGCTCTAGATGACCTTTAGACGGCCCAAGAGGCCTCCAGGGCCCCGACTGTCAAAAGGCATTGATATCCTGAAGGTTTTTGGGAGATTTTTGCGTTCTCGCCTTTTCGGTTTTCCGACGCTCCAAAACGTCACGGCCCAAGAGGCCTCCAATACGGCCCAAGAGGCAAGACGGCTCCAAAGGAGCAACAGAGGGGGCACACGGACTAATTTTTTGCGCCATAAGCCCCAAAAGGGCCCCTGAGACCACCAACAGGCTACCAAGAGGCCCCCAAGAGGCCCGAAAGAACTCCCCAGTGGGCTCCGGCCCGTCCCGCCGCCACCGTGCCCAAAAACGGCCGTTTCGCTCGGGACATCCTCAAAAAATCGCGAAGATGGCCCAAGATGGCCTCCAAGTCCTCCCGAGATGGTCCAAGATGGCCTCCAAAACGGCCCAAGAGAGTCCAAGACGGCCCAAGACGGCCCAAGAGGCCCCCCAGAGGCATCCCAGACGGCCCAAGAGGCCTCCAAGAGGTCCTCCAGGAGAGTCCGAAGAGGGCAAAATCATTGGTTTTCCCTTGGTTTTTGAAGGATTTTGGCATTTGCGCCTTTTCGGCTCTCCGACGGCTCAAGACGGCCCAAGAAGCCCCCAAGATCGCCCAAGAGGCCCCCAAGAGAGCCCCCTGATGGCCCAAGTGGCCTCCAAGATGGCCCCTAGAGGGCCCCAAGACGGCCCAAGAGGCCTCCAACACGCCCAAGATGGCCTCCAAGACGCCCAAGATGGCCTCCAAGACGGCCCTGGAGCGCCCCAAGAGGGTCCCCCGTTGGCCCAGAAAGGCCCCCAAAACGGCTCCCGACGGCGTCAGACGTGCCAGGAACCCACCAAGATGGCCGAAGTTGGCTCGAAGCTGGCCCAAAAGGGCCCAAGAGGCCCCCAAGAGGGCCTCCAGGAAGGCCAAAAGATGCCAAAATCACTGATTTTCCCAAGGTTTTTGATGGATTTGGGCATTTCCCTTTTTTCGGCCTTCCGACGGCCCGACACGGCCCAAGAGCCCCCAAAGATCGCCGAAAGATCGCCCAAGAGGCCTCCAAGACGGCGACGATGACCATCAAGACGCTCACGTGTTCCCCGAAGGCTTTCCAAACCGATTCGGGGAACACATGGTCCGATGGCTTGGCAGGTCTGGCCTCAACGTTCGGCCACATAGGCGCTTCCACAAAGGCAGGGGGCGGCGGTGATTCGCCGTAGGCGTCTTCGATCCGCCGCCCCCTGCTTGCAGGGGTGCACGGCGTGCTGGATGATTCAGGTTTTGGTTTTGGTTCTTTTTCTAAAAGAACTCCCCAGTGGGCTTCGGCCCGTCCCGCCGGCCACCCGCAAATTTCGGAAAACCCATCCCTCAATGCCCAAAAACGGCCGTTTCGCTCGGGACATCCTGAACAAATCGCGAAGATGGCCCAAGATGGCCCAAAGATGGCCTCCAAAACGACCCAAGAGAGTCCAAGACGGCCCAAGACGGCCCAAGAGGCCCCCCAGAGGCCTCCCAGACGGCCCAAGAGGCCTCCAAGAGGTCCTCCAGGAGAGTCCGAAGAGGCCAAAATCATTGATTTTCCTTTGGTTTTTGAAGGATTTTGGCATTTGCGCCTTTTCGGCTCTCCGACGGCTCAAGACGGCCCAAGAAGCCCCCAAGATCGCCCAAGAGGCCCCCAAGAGAGCCCCATGATGGCCCAAGTGGCCTCCAAGATGGCCCCTAGAGGGCCCCAAGAGGGCCCAAGAGGCCTCCAACACGCCCAAGATGGCCTCCCAGACGCCCAAGATGGCCTCCAAGACGGCCCTGGAGCATTCCAAGCGGGCCCCAAGTCGGCCCATAGAGGCCCCCCAAACGGCTTCCGACGGCTTCAGACGTGCCAGGAACCCACCAAGATGGCCGAAGTTGGCTCGAAGCTGGCCCGAGACGGCCCAAAAAGCCCCAAAGATCGCCCAAAGCTTGCCCAAGAGGCCTCCAAGACGGCCAAGATGACCTTCAAGATGCCCACGTGTTCCCCGAAGGCTTTCCAAACCGATTCGGGGAACACGTGGTCCGATAGCTTGGCAGGTCTGGCCTCAACGTTCGGCCACATAGGCGCTCCCAAAAAGGCAGGGGGCGGCGGTGATTCGCCGTAGGCGTCTTCGATCCGCCGCCCGCTGTCGATTCATCGCAGGGGTGCCTGGCGTGCTGAACCCTCTAGGTTCTGGTTTCGGTTCTTTTTCCCAAAGAACTCCCCCTGGGGCTTCGGCCCGTCCCGCCGGCAAGCCACCCGGAAGGCGCTCAATTCCCCAATCTCGTCGGCTTTTTCGCTCAAGATGGCCAAAGATGGCCTCCAAGATGCCTCCAAGACGGCCAAGATGGCTTCCAAGGCGGCTAAGATGGCCCCAAGATGCCTCCAAGACGGCCCAAGATGCACCCAAGACCGCCTAAGATGGCCTCAAGATAACCCAAAACGGCCCAAGAGGCTCCCAAGAGGCCTCCAAGATGGCCCAAGACACCCCCAAGAGGCCTCCAAGACGGGCCCAAGAGGCCTCCAAGAGGTCCTCCAGGAGGGCCCGAAGAGGCCAAAATCATTGGTTTCCCTAAGGTTTTTGAAGGATTTTGGAATTTGCTTATTCTCGGCATTCCGACGGCTCAAGACGGCCCAAGAGGCCCCCAAGATCGCCCAAGAGAGCCCCATGACGGGTCAAGTGGTCTCCAAGATGGCCCAAGAGGCCTCCAACACGCCCAAGATGGCCTCCAAGACGCCCAAGATGGCCTCCAAGACGGCCCCGAAGCGCGCCAAGAGGGTCCCCCGTTGGCCCCGAAAGACCCCCAAGACGGCTCCCGACGGCGTCAGACGTGCTAGGAAGCCACCCAGATGGCCGAAGTTGGCTCGAAGCTGGCCCAAGACGGCCCAAGAGGCCCCCAAGAGGGCCTCCAGAAGGCCAGAAGAGGCCAACCACATTGATTTGTCTTAGGTTTTTTTGACGGATTCTGACATTTCCTTCCTTTCGGCCTTCCAACGGCCCGATACGGCCCGAGAGCCCCCAAAGATCGCCGAAAGATCGCCCAAGAGACCTCCAAGACGGCCAAGATGACCTTCAAGATGCCCACGTGTTCCCCGAAGGCTTTCTAAACCGATTCGGGGAACACATGGTCCGATAGCTTGGCAGGTCTGGCCTCAACGTTCGGCCACATAGGCGCTTCCACAAAGACAGCGGGCGGCGGTGATTCGCAGTAGGCGTCTTCGATCCGCCCGCCCCCTGTCGATTCATCGCAGGGGTGCCTGGCGTGCCAAACTATTACGGTTTTGGTTTTGGTTCTTTTTCCAAAAGAACTCCCCCCGGGGCTCCAGCGCGTCCCGCCGGCCACCCAGAAGAGGTGGTTGCAAACAGTTTTCCTGCCCCAGACGGCCCCAAGATGGCATCCAAGACGGTCAAGATGCCTCCAAGACGGCCAAGATGGCCTCCAAGACGGCTCATATGGCCCCAAGATGCCTCCAAGACGGCCCAAGATGTGCCCTAGACGGCCTAAGATAGCCTGAAGACGGCCCAATGCGGCCCAAGAGGCCCCCGAGAAGCCTCCAAGACGGCCCAAGAGGCCTCCAAGAGGTCCTCCAGGGAGGCCCGAAGAGGTCAAAACCATTGATTTTCCATAGATTTTTGAAGGATTTTGACATTTGCGTTTTTTTTTTTTTTTTTTTTTTTTTTTTTTTTTTTTTTTTTTTTTTTTTTTTTTTTTTTTTTTTTTTTTTTTTTTTTTTTTTTTCTCTTCCTCCCCTCACCAGCGCACATGCCCAACAACTTCTAACCCTTGTCCGATTGTGTGACGAATCCGCTTCCCCTCATGGGGGCTATATTCGCACCCATCAACGAGGCGCTGCCGCCCCCTGGCAAAACGAGCGGACACGGGCTAGAAACGCACTGTAGGAATATAGCGGCAGAGCTCGGAAGTGGCCGGCCGGGTAAACGTCACCGCATTCAAGGAGGAGGAATGGAAGGAGGACGAGAAGGAAGGACGAGGAGGGAGGGAGGGAGGATACCTGCACCAATCAGGAGCTGCTTTTCGCCATAGCTTCGGAGAACACTCTCCCAACAAAGTGTGGCTGTTTTCCCGCCGATGGTCCACGCAGTATCTGGACCGGAGTGGGGGAAACTGGCGAAGATGTGTTCGCATTTGTGCTTCAAACTTCGAACGCGCCGATGAAGGCGATTGCTTCCTGGACGGTTCCACAAGCGGCGAAGGAAAACAAATCGCACCTCGGGCGCACGCTGCGGCGCAGCCCTGCTGTGGTGAAACGCGCGGTTTTAACGACGTTTGGGAAGGAACTCGCGGGAAGGGAGTCTGGACAAAAACGTTGTGCGGGCACCCCACATGACCTGGCTGGCCATTTGTATCATACGCACAACAGTAACCAAGACACAGGCTGATACGAATTCACCCAATATCGTATCACAGTAGCCGGGGGGCCGGGAGGAACGTAGGGGCCAAGAGAAACGTCAAAACGGCAGAAGACTGCGGGTGCAGCGAGTATTGGCTAAATGACATAACGTAACATGCAGCATGCACGAGCAGAGCGGGGGGGAAGGAGGGGGAGGGGGGAATGAGGGAGAACATGACTGACCAGCACACCGATATCAACCAAGCGTTTCTTGCCACGCCGCGGCAACTAGGGCAGCCAGCGACGGATGAGCTGCGCAGGCCTCGCGGCCATACTGCCACCAGGCGCTAGCCGCGTCCGCTGTAGTGTGGTGTCGCGCCGCGCAGGAGGCAGCATATGTACAGTATGCGGCCAGGGCGCGACGAGCTAACAGAGGGGCCGTGCCTTCGGAAAATGAAGGCTCCAGAGCAACAGAACTCGAGAGACGAGCCGCTGGGGCGGGGCGGGGTGGACGCAAGTGCTTGTAGCCTAGCTCCGCCAGGCAAGGGCATTGCGCGAAGTGCTGTAGACTGTCTTCGCCACGCGGACACCCGAAGGGGCAAGGTGCCCAACGTCCAAAACGGCGGGCGGTCGTCCAGCTGTTACACAAGGCCCTGTACAATGAAGCCCAGACCCTGGGGGACACAGCCGGTGCAAAACCGCGCAGAACTGTCAACGCTCGGGGCAATCGACGACCTGGAAGGAGGTGGAGGGGAAGGCGATACAGGGCGCGTGGCAGCTCACGTGTGGTGCTCACTGGGCTCGGCGGCGTCAGCAGCTGGCGGCAGCGCCGTTGCCACTGCGACCGGGGAGTCGGAATAGCAGAAACACCTTGGGCCAGCAATGCGGCGGAGGTGCCGGTCCCGGCGGCGCGGGCCTCTAGGCGATACTGCGCGTCCGCGAGATTCATGATGAAGATGCCAGTGTACCACTCGTGCCAGGTGGCCAACTGCTGGAGGTTGTCCGAACCGCTAATCTTGTCCAGCAGCAAGCGCCGCCGGCGTGGGATGTGCAAGCCCCCTGTGGCGTCGGCCTCCCATCGGTGTACCCTGCACTTGGCCGCGAGGGCTGTGGCGTGGGCATCGGGAAGCTGCGAAGGGAGTCCCAACGAGCATAAATCACGCAAAGCGGCAGGTGGCGTCCAGCAGCGAGGCCCCGGGAACAGCAGCGCGCATGCCTTCTGCTCATGCTCGGCCCAGTCCGGCGGCAGCCTGTCCAGCTGCATGAGGAAGCAAAGGGCGGGGAAGATGTAGACGCGGTAGGCGAGGATGGTGATGAGCATTCCTCCGCCCACGGCCCGCCATGTCCGTGCACGCGACGTGTACTTCTGCAGCGGTTTCGTCCACGACGATTGCGCGCGCTCGGGCCCCACCTCGAAGCCCAAGTACGCGGCGTGCCGGCGCGCCGTGAACTCCCCCCAGGTGGGCGCTGCTGCGTGTAAGCGAGCTCTGACAATGTCCATCGGTGTCAAGGATAAGGGCACCCACGCGCTTTTCCCCTGGTGAAGCCAGAGTCCTGACAGCCGTTCATGCTCGTCAAAAGCGTGCTCGAGAATGGGCGCGCCCCGCGTGCTGTGGGCGAGGGCCACCGCGAGGTCGTCGGCGTAGGCGCAGCCGACGTAACAGAACGTCCGACAGCACGGCAAAAAGCAGCGGTGAAAGAGGGCAGCCCTGCCGGACCCCCGCGGTAAACTCGAAGCCCTCGAACGTGGCGCCCTGGACAATGGTCCGGCATCGGTTGTAGCGGTAGAGGGCCTTGACCAAAGTGATGCACCAATCCGGCCAGCCACGGGCCACCAGCACGTCCATGAGAAACTCCTGGCTGACGGAGGGGAAGGCGGCCTCGAAGTCGAAAAAGACGGCCGCCGCGTCCTCGTAGTCCAATGAGAAATTCAACATGGTCTCGTCGAGGTCTACGAGGTTCGCCAACATGGAGCGGCCCTGTAGGAAGCCGCGCTGGGAGTCGGAGATTCCCGGAGCGACTGCTGGCTCGATCCACCGGCGCACCGCACTGGCGATGATCCTGTTGTCCGCGTTGGTGATGTTGAGAGGCCGCGTATTCGGAGGCCTGTAGAAGTCCATGCCGTCCGGGGTAGCGGCACTAAGCTTTTTCGGCAAGAACACCATGGAACTCTCATTGAAGTCGCCCCAGTCCGTCTCCAGGAGGCTCAAACCGTCGGTGCCCACCATGGCAACAAAAGCATCGTACAGAGCACGGGCGGCAAACTCTCCCAGTTTTCGCCACGCTCGGAATGGTATACCATCGGGGCCTGGAAAGCTGTTCTTGGTGTGCCGGATGGCGCGTTCGAAACAATCGAACGGCTTTTGGCTCTCCGACGGCACCAGACGGCCCAAGAGACCCCCAAGATCGCCCAAAGATCGCCCAAAAGGCCTCCAAGATGGCCCCCTGACGGCCAAAGAGGCCTCCAAGACGGCGCCAAGAGGGCCCCAAGACGGCCCAAGAGGCCTCCAAGACGCTCAAGATGGCCTCTAAGACGGCCCTGGAGCACCCCAAGAGGGTCCCAAGTCGGCCCAGAAAGGCCCCCCAAACGGCTTCCGACGGCGTCAGACGGACCAGCTGGCCCAAGACTGCCCAAGAGGCCTCCAAGAGGGCCTCCAGGAAGGCCAGAAAAGGCCCAAAAGAGTGATTTGTCCGTCGGATTTTGAAGGATTTGTTTCGTTTCGGCCTTCCGACGGTCCGATACGGCCTAAGAGCCCCCAAAGATCGCCCAAGGATCGCCCCAGAGGCCTCCAAGATGGCCCCAGAACGGCCCAAGAGGCGCCCAAGACGGCCCCAAGAGGCCCCCAAGACGGCCGAAGAGGCTTCCAAGACGCTCAAGATGGCCTCCAAGACGGCCCACGAGCCCTCCAAGACGTCCTCCAAGAAGGCCCGAAAGGGTCAAAATAGCCTCCAGGCGGCCAAGATGACCTTCAAGATGCCCACGTGTTCCCCGAAGGCTTTCCAAACCGATTCGGGGAACACATGGTCCGATAGCTTGGCAGGTCTGGCCTCAAAGTTCGGCCACATATGCGCTTCCACAAATGCAGGGGGCGGCGGTGATTCGCCGTAGGCGTCTTCGATCTGCCGCCCCCTTTCGATTTATCAAAGGGGTGCCTGGCGTGCCGAACGATATGGCTTTTGGTTTTGGTTTTTTTTCCAAAAGAACTCCTGGGGCTTCGGCCCGTCCCGCCGGCCACCCGGAAAACCCACCTGTCGTCGCCTTTCTTGCCTTAAGATGGCCTAAGATGGTCTCCAAGACGGCCAAGATGTCCCAGGATGGCCTCCAAGTTGCTCCAAGACTGCCTAAGATGGCCTCAAAGACGGCTAAGATGGCTCCAAGATGCACCCAAGACGGCCCAAGATGGCCTCAAGATGGTCTAAGACGGTCCAAAAGGCCCGCAAGATGCCTCCAAGACGGCCCAAGAGGTCTCCAAGAGGTCCTCGAGGAAGGCCCGACTGGCATTTGCGCCTCTTCGGCTTTCTGACGGCCCAATGCGGCCCAAGAGGCTCCCAAGATCGCCCAAGAGGCCCCCCAAAGGGCCCCATGACGGCCCAAATGGCCTCCAAGACGGCCCCAAGAGGGCCCCAAGACGGCCCAAGAGGCCTCCAACACGCCCAAGATGGCTTCCAAGACGCCCAAGATGGCCTCCAAGACGGCCCCGAAACGCCCCAAGAGGGCCCCAAGTCGGCCCAGAAAGGCCCCCAAGACGGCTCCCGACGGCGTCAGACGCGCCAGGAACCCACCAAGATGGCCGACGTTGGCTCGAAGCTGGCCCAGGAGGCCCCCAAGAGGGCCTCCAGGAAGACCAGAAAAAGCCAAACACATGTATTTTCCTAAGGTCTTTGACGGATTTTGACATTTGCTTCCTTTCGGCCTTCTGACGGCCCAAGAGCCCCCAAAGATCACCCAAAGATCGCCCAAGAGGCCTCCAAGAAGGCCCCAGAACGGCCCAAGAGGGCCCCAAGGCGGCCCCAAGAGGCTCCCTAAGACGGCACAGGAGGCCTTTAAGACACCCAAGATGGCCTCCAAGGCCCTGGAGCATTCCAAGAGGGCCCCAAGTCGGCCCATAGATGCCCCCCAAACGGCTTCCGACGGCGTCAGACGGACCAGCTGGCCCAAGACTGCCCAAGAGGCCTCCAAGAGGGCCTCCAGGAAGGCCCGAAAAAATGCCAAAATCTTTGATTTCCAATTGTTTTTCCAAATCATCCTGTGGTGTTGGGTCCTCGTTTTGAAGAGACAGTGCCCCGCGTCCCACGTTCCTCCTCCTTCCTCCTCCTCCTCCTCCTCCTCCTCCTCCTCCTCCTCCCGCTCCTCCCACCCCCTCTTCCCTGCGTTTCACCCACCCAAGGCAGCGTCTCGTAGCCCCATCGGGAGCTCCACCGACGGCCCCAGTGGGGGTGCCCGCATGCGGTTCCCCCACCCAGGGCAGCGTTTCGTGGCACCATAGGGAGCTCCACCGAAGGCCCCAGTGGGGGTGCCCGCACGCGATTCTCCCACCCAGGGCAGCGTTTCGTGGCATCATAGGGAGCTCCACCGAAGGCCCCACGGGGGGTGCCCGCATGCGGTTCCCCCACCCAGGGCAACGTTTCGTGGCACCATAAGGAGCTCCACCGACGGCACCAGTGGGGGTGCCCGCATGCGGTTCCCCCACCCAGGGCAACTTTTCTTTACACAGCACCCACACTCGAGAGCCAGGCTTGAATGTATGTTAACTCGGAGCGTGCCTATACCATAAAATCTTGATTTTAGAGTGCTGGGGGCAGGCGGGGGTAGAGCGACAACCCTAATCAAAAGAGGCCCCACAGAATATCCGACGCAGCAGCGGGAGAGAAACCCCACAGGACAGCGAGCGGCTCGAGAGGAGGGGGCACCCTCCGAAAGTATCTGTTCGCAGCGGCGGGGCCCCGTGTGAGGCCCGAAACATAAAAGGCCGAGAGGTACCTGACCGTGCCTCGGCCCACGGTCGGGCCAAAAAGCCTCGCGGCGAAACCCCCGAGCTCATACAAGCCCAAGGGTGGGCAGGGTTGGGAGCCGAAACTTTGCGCCAGGAGAGGAGGGACAAGCACGAGAGAGACTGCGCTACTCCTCCTCCTAATTTGCAGTTGAGGCGGCTATCTGAACGTTTACAGGGGGTGTGTAAAAGTGTGTTTAAAAACGCGTATTTACACAGCACCCACACTCGAGAGCCAGGCTTGAATGTATGTTAACTCGGAGCGTGCCTATACCATAAAATCTTGATTTTAGAGTGCTGGGGGCAGGCGGGGGTAGAGCGACAACCCTAATCAAAAGAGGCCCCACAGAATATCCGACGCAGCAGCGGGAGAGACAACCCCACAGGACAGCGAGCGGCTCGAGAGGAGGGGGCACCCTCCGAAAGTATCTGTTCGCAGCGGCGGGGCCCCGTGTGAGGCCCGAAACATAAAAGGCCGAGAGGTACCTGACCGTGCCTCGGCCCACGGTCGGGCCAAAAAGCCTCGCGGCGAAACCCCCAGTCCCGTCATCACTAGACTGGCACTTGTGCCTTCACGCTTCCAGCCACAGCTAGACACGAGCGCGGCACACATTCGGGAGGGGGGGAAAGGGAGATAATTTGTGTCGCTCTCACCCACCAAAAAACCTGCTTTATATTTTCCCCATATCTATCAAATGTTCAAGGAAGACAAGTGGAGGACAGGGTGCACGCGCCCAAATCTCGAGGCTCCTGCATTCATATCAAAAGATATGGCCCCCGCAAAAGGCGGGGCCTGAAATGAGAGTGGTTGCCGCAAAAGGCTGGCCTGCTCATTGCCGTCTGGCCCTGCTACGGCCAGCAGTGGATGGGCGGCTGGTGGGCTCCGCGCCTCCGTCCGCCATACTCTCCAGCTGCGGCAGCACGACCTCGTCGTTCTTGGCTGCCCCGAGCTCGTGCACCATGTCCCGCGCCAGCGGGGCCAGCACAGCGTCGGAACGGTAGATGGCCTCTGAGATCTGCTGGGCGGGCCTGCGCCAGAAGGCCCTCCCCCGCTCAAGCTGTGCGGGGGTGAGCCGGCTCCGCTGCTCGATCAGCACGTGCACTTTCGTGTAGCGCTGAAGGGCCGACGTGGTCTGCCAGCGGCCCTTCCGGCGCGCCGCCTCCAGCGAGCCGCCAGCGGCGATGTAGGCCGCTGCCCCCGCGTGCCTCAGCGAGTGCGGGGGGCCGAAGTCCGCCAGGCCCGCCCTGTCGAAGGCCTGCCTCCACGCCTTCCTGTACTTGTCCTGCGAGATCGGGAAGAGGAGGTCCCGTGGTGCTGCGCCCTTGCCAATCGCCCGTAGGATGGCCTTCGTCACCTGCCACGAGACCACGACGCCCTGGTTCGCTCCCGTCTTCACCTTCTCGCCCCGCTCTCTGCGGCCCAAGGTGAGCCCGACCTCCCCGTCGGGGCCCACCGCCACGTCCGTCTTCCTGAGGAGGCCCCAGTCCTGCTCCCTCAGCCAGCCGTCCAGCTGCAGCAGCACCGCGGCCCCCTCGTACAGCTGGCCGTGCTCAAAGAGGTCGTAGAGCACGCACCCCACCGCCTCGAACGGCACCGGCGCCCCCTCCTTCTGGAAGCCCATCCTAGACCAGGACTTCAGCGCCCTGGCCGCGACGGGGAGCCGATTGCGGTGGTCCTCGAAGATGTGCATGAAACCATTGAACAACGCTGACGCCCTGCCGAAGGGCAACTGCATCACGTAGCACATGTCCGATATGTACCCGCCAAGCGCCGCATCCCTTTCCTCGTAAGTGGAGAAGGGGTGCCCGTGCCGCTTCACGTCCAGGAGGAAGGTCCTCACTTCCTTCTCGTAGATCTGATTCGTGGCGTCGTCCACTGCGTGCACCACGAGCCTCACATTGTGGTGCAGCTTGTCACTCGGGGCCTGCTCCCAGGCCCGAGCGCCCCTCTTGGCCAGAGGGGGGGGCTTTGCAGAGGTCGTAGCGGGGCCGTCCACCCCGCGCCGCGGCATCGCTTCGCACAGCGTCAGCCCGCTCATGGCCATCACAAATGCGAAGCTCCAGGCGGTCCTCGTCGGGCCCGATCTTGCAGCCGCTGAAGTAACTCCTTCGGCACCCCGCGGCCCACGTGGCCCGCCACGGTGTCCTCCGCCGCGCCTATGCCTTGACCTCTCGAGGGGCCGTCTGCCAGGTTGAGCTCGCTCGGCACCCACCTGAAGTACCCGCGGATCCTGCAAACCATCTGGATGATGCCGCCGATCCTCGCCAGGTGCAAGAGGTCCTTGGCAGACGAGCGCCCCTTCTTGAGAACGCCCAGGCTCACCAACGAGTCGGTGAAGAACAGCACGCGGTGATTCCAGCTCTGGGACGTGCGACTGAGGTGTCGGAGCACCGCCACCACCGTACGCAGCTCCAAGACATTGTTGTGCTCTGCGTGAGACCAACGTCCCTGAAACAGCACGTGCCACTTCTTCTCCAGCCAATGGCCCAGCAGAGGCAGGGCCGGCCCAGTCGCTCGCACGACGCGCCCGCGATCGCCCTGCAGGCGAAGCCGGGCCCCCGCTGGTATCGAGTCCCAGTGCGGCTCGAGCTCCTGCAGAGTGGACGCGTATGCCCTGCACAACTCCAGCGGGTAAGCACATGCCACCTGAGTCCACCGTAGTCCACCTGGTGATCGTCCTCGTAGTTCTCGGTGAGCACGGCCAGTCCGACTGCATCGGCTCGCGGGGCACAAGCACACCCGCTGTAGCGTCGCCATCTTCTTCACGTTGGTGATGAACGTAGTTGGCTTCCTCCATTCTTCGCCATACATGCAGTAATCCACCTCCACACGGAACACCCCCTCGAGATCCAAGAGCGCGGTCATTGGCGCGAACGCCCATATCATGCTGGTCCTGGGGTTCTCGAGGGTGAATCCAATGCCAAGGCGTAGGCAGATCTTGACCACCTCTACTGCTATCAAAGCCAAAGCGTTCCCTTCGTCTATCTTGGCCTGGTCCGTCTCCGTGCAGTCCGGCAGCCCCCACGGGTGATCGCTCGACCTCAGCGGCGGCTGCCTTGCTCTCGAAAACGTCGCGCACGGGGGGGCAACATGCACCCACCAGAACCAGCCAGTCCTCACTCTCCGTAACAACAGCTCCAAGTTCTCTGTGACCAGTACGTCGAACTCCGCGCCCCGCTGGACGTCCCAGGCCTCGCCCCACGAGTCGGTCATCTCCCTGATCGAATCCAGCAAGCGAGAGCTCCCAGCGAAGAGCTCCAACACCCCAGGTCGCCCCGTAGTGGGAGCGGCCGGGAGGTCCTCCTCCTCGCCGATCGCCTCCTGCGCTCGCTCGATCTCGGTGTAGCTCTGCTCGGTCAGGGGTCCCCAAGCTCCCCCATCTCCACGGGCAGCTTCTCGTCGGACGTCCTCCTCCGTGCAGTCGCAGGCCAGGGCACCGAAGCCTTCGTTGGACGCATCCGTCATGTATGCTCTCGGCCACCAGCCCATCTCCAGGTTCGACTCCATGTAGACCGAGAGGGGCGCGACGGCCCTCAACTCGCTCCTGACCTCCTCGGGCAAGCGGTGCGGCACAACACTCTCCTCCTCGTCGAACTCCCTCAGCCACCTGTAGGTCGCGTCCAGGATCGCAAACGAGGGGCGGAAGACCATCATGGTCCAGGTCCAGTGCCCGACCAGAGAAGCCACCGCCGAAGGTCTGAGAGCCACTTCCAACACCGCCGCCTCGGTAGCCAGCACGACCTGCTCCATCTTCTTCGGCTGGATCCTCAGCGTGTAGGGCCTCGTGGCGGCGATGCACAGGCCCAGGCCGTTCTCCATCCCTTCGCCCCAGGCCTCCTTGTGCACTGCGAGCCCCTTGCCGTTCAGAAGCTCCTTGATCATCTCCTTGTCCTCCAGGATCTTCTGCTCGCCGTCCTCGCCCTCGAGGGTGAAGCCGATGTAGTCGTCGATGTACAACATCAGCAGGAACCTGGTCGCCTCCTCCTCCGATAGGCCAAACGACGGGGTGGGCTTGCCGTAAGTCAAGCTGGGGGCCTTCAGGGACTCGAAGCTTGCCTCCAGGCAGCTGTGGGCCAAGAACACCGCCCACGCTGAGCCCATGACCAAACTCGAAGCCCCAATGCCGACGTCCTCCTCGCGCGGCTTCGGCAAAGCCACACCCTGCTCCGTCCCGTACTGGTACAGCTCCTGCGGCGAGACATCCTCCACCACAAAATACTCCGCCAAAAACGAACCCCAGTGCAACCGATAGAACCAGTCCGGTACGTCGCCCTGGAAGGAGAAGAGCCGCCGTCCACGCAGCACCGCCTCGTCCAGCTCTAGGAGCGCGAGGCCCGCGGGGCTGCCCAAAGGCACCCACGGGGGATCCACGAAGAGCAGGTTGACTCTTCGGCAGTCCCAGATCAGCCGCGACTTCACAATGCCACCAGTCTTGGGGTCGAAGTCCTTCGCCACCGTGAACAGCCCGACATGTTCGCGTACCTTCGTCACATATGTTATCATTCCAGCCTGCGCCATCCGCAGGGCAAGTGCCAAGCGCTCCTTCTTGCTCCGCCACGCCGGGTCCGAGTAGCTCTTCGTCGCCTCGTACTTCTCCCAGTCGACTTCCCCCGAGCCCTTGATCATCAGCTGGCCGGCCTCTGTGAGGTACCGCCCAGCGAGACTCGAGATCGCCGCCACTTCCAAGCTCTGGGTCCCCGGCGCTGGGAGAGACACCTGCTCCGCTCTCAGAGGGCACAGGTCGCCCTTCCTCAACTGCGGTGAAGCCTTCGATGCCGTAGACGTCGTAGGCCTCGATCCCTTCGCAAAATACTCTGTCGGGCTTCCTCCTGCCAAGCGGCTCAATGCCGCCCTGCCGTCGTTGATGGTCCCCCACTTCGCCCTCGCGGCGTGAAGGTCCCAGGCTTCCGTCACCAGTCTTTTCTGTAGCGGCGTACTCGCACTCCAGTCCGTCTGGCACGTCTGCTTGTCCGTCAGGCTCGATGGATGTATCCAACCATTCGAACAGCCCGTCGCCATACTCCTGATCGCCGCTATCGTCCTCGAAGTCCGCTGCCAGGTTGTCCTCAGCTCCTTCTCGGACAGGCCCGAACTCGACCTCCTCGACTGTAGTGGGAATGGGAGCCCAGGCAGACTCCTCAAGGGATCCCTCTCTCTCAAATCCTTTTCCCCAGTAGGCATCTGGGACCACCGAGCGACCTGCGCTCCGACGTACGGGAAAACCTGCTCGCCACAGAACGGCGCGAGGCCCCAAGTACAAGAAAGGCCTCGACGCTCCGACGCCGCCGTGGAAGACCCCACAGCCGATCGTCAGGAAGCTCACCAGCCCGACCCGAAAGACGTGTCCAGCAAGAAGCTCGGCACGAAAGCGGCTCGCCGCCGCGGCCGTGGTAGAGGGGATTGACCCCTCAGGCCTTGGCCAGAGCACACCACGATAGCTCCGGCCGCAACCTATTCGTCCTCGCCGGCAGGCTGCCCCGAGCGCACCTCACCCAGGTGCTTGCTGAGGATCGCCCGCCGCCTGAGCTTCTCCAGGACCTCGTCATCGGCCCCCCTGTTCTCGCTGTTGGGGTCCCCGTCGAGGCGCAAGTACTCCTCAGCCAGACTCCAGTCGACCTTGGAGCGCCACTTGCCGCCGTGCTGCGCCTTGGGCCTCATCCAGTCGCTCTTGCACTGCACCCGCTCGTACGCCTTCCAGATCGAGTACAGGCGCAGGCAGGTCACCTCCGCGGCCTGCGAGTTGATCAGCTCGTCGTACTGCCCCTGGCTCATCATCCTGTCAAGGACCAGGGCCAGCATGTTCAGCTCCTGCGCGATGCCCGCGCCCTGCAGCTCCTTGGAGCGGAGCCACTCCTGCGTCTCCACACGTGCGCTCCGTCCGCCCTTGTAGAGCCTCGCCAGCACTGTCGGCGCCACGCGGGCCCTGATCCCCCCCACGGGGGAGCCCGCCACGCGGCGATACTTCTCCAAAGTCGCCAGCAAGCTCTCCTTCGGGTTCTTCGACTCCTCCTTCAGCTGCACGATCTGGTCCTTCAGGGGGTCCTCGAGCTCGCCCAGGTCTCCAACCTTCTCCCAGGACGCTGCACTCGAGCTCGGCGTGGGCGACCCTGCCTGCGCTCGGGTGCTCAAGCCCGAGTCCCGCTGCACCAGCTCCTCGTGCTCCGTCAGCTTCTTGATGAACGCATCCACCTCGGCCGAGCTAGGGTCGTCTCCTCTGGTCGGCGGCGGCCCCGCGGGGGGCGGGGGAGGCGGGCCTGGCTCCGACCCCAGAGCCCCACTGCCGCAGGCAGGTCCTGCCCCCGCTCCGCCCCCGACATCCAGCCTCGACTTCAGCATACCCACAGCGTCGGCCAGGTCAGACTGACCGCGAGCCAACTCCGCGAACCGGGTCTTGGTGTCCCGCTCGTCGCCACTCACGTCACTCACGTCATCACCAGCGTGCACCGACCCGCCGTCCGAGTCCGAGCCCGAGTCGCTGTCCGAGTCGACCTCCTTTCGGCACGAGCATCCGTGTGTCCAGATCCCGTAGATCACGATGAGAACGCAGCCCAGGTAGGCCGCGCACAGCTCGAGGTCGCCCGATTCGTACAGCTCCCCCAGGAACTCGCGGAAGTTGTCCAGGTCCTCGATCGCCTGCATCCCCGCCGAGACGGTGTGGTACCCTGCGGCGAAGAAGGAACCGAGATGCAGCCAACGCCACAACCTCCAGCCCACAAAGAACACCGCTGCAGCACCACCCCACGTCTTGTGGGCCCACGCCGTCACCACGGTGGTCACGAGGCCCTTGCCGAACCAGGACGCCACCTTGGCCTTCGAGCTCGCCTTCTTGCCCTTCGTCAGGTTGGC